ACAATTGTGTTTAACAATCGGTTAGACATCACCGTTGACTCGTACTAATTACTCCGGCACTGTGCCGTTACATGTCTTAGGCATCGCACACTAACTATTGACCGGCTGAACGTGTAGTGTTCTGCCGTTATTGCCACAGTCGTGTAGCGATAACACGCAACGACACTCGCGCACTGAGTGTACTGTACGGTCTGGCGTAACATTAGTCTGACGAGAGCGCAACAGTATGTTCGGCACTCTCGACACAGACTTTTACTATGTTTTTATTATGTTAACGACCCTCAGACAAACGAAGCCCCGGGAAAGACCCGAGGCTGCAATATGCGTTCGAAAATCAAGTGCTCGGCGTGTCCTGCATTTCACACCGCTTATCGCAGCTAGCTGCGTTCTTCATCGACCAGCGAACCGAGTGATCCACCGTTTGCAGTTGTACTGCACATTGTGTTTTTATCAATTGTTATCAAAGGCACAAGTTTTTCAACTTAAAGCGCACACACAAGTCAAGTCTTTACGGCATTGCTTACGATCATAGACCGCTCACAATAATTAAGCCTAGCGACAGTCTTTGGGCGCACCCTATGACTATCACTCTGTAGCCCGACTTTGACGCCGATAGCGACAAAGTGCTCACACTTTGACGGTGTGTAGGCATTGCTCAGATTAGACACCTCATGACTTGTCTTGTGTTTTTTGCAGACAAACACCGGTACTAAAGTGTTCATATTCAGTGGTGATCGGTCGCTCTCATACACAACACCTAACAGTTACACTGTTGTTGTTGTTGTTGTGTACCTTGTGATCACCTATGAACGGTTATGTACCGTTTGGGATATGTTTGCCGCTTATCTATCGATTGAGCGACTTTTGCGTTCAACAAATTGCCGTTTGTGTATGAGTTAAACTCTACAACATACGGTAATGATCCTTCCGCAGGTTCACCTACGGAAACCTTGTTACGACTTTTACTTCCTCTAAATGTTCAAGTTTGGGCATCTTTCCGAGCACAGCGCTGCCACTACAAGAGCAGCTGCACCGGCCAGTCCGAAGACCTCACTAAAACATTCAATCGGTAGTAGCGACGGGCGGTGTGTACAAAGGGCAGGGACGTAATCAACGCGAGCTAATGACTCGCGCTTACTGGGAATTCCTCGTTCAAGGGGAATAAAATCCCCTATCCCAATCACGAAGAAGGTTCATTGGGTTCCCCACTCTTGACAGAGTAGGTTTTTGAATGCACGCTGATCACTTCAGTGTAGCGCGCGTGCGGCCCCGGACATCTAAGGGCATCACAGACCTGTTATTGCTCTGTTTCGTGCGGTTGAAACACCGCCTGTCCCTCTAAGAAGTGTTGTCGACGTTATAAGTCGGCAATCTATTTAGTAGGCTAGAGTCTCGTTCGTTATCGGAATTAACCAGACAAATCACTCCACCAACTAAGAACGGCCATGCACCACCACCCACTGAATCAAGAAAGAGCTCTCAATCTGTCAATCCTTCCAGTGTCCGGGCCGGGTGAGTTTTCCCGTGTTGAGTCAAATTAAGCCGCAGGCTCCACTCCTGGTGGTGCCCTTCCGTCAATTTCTTTAAGTTTCAGCTTTGCAACCATACTTCCCCTGGAACCGAAAGACTTTGGTTTCCCGGAAGTCCCTCGCCGAGTCATTTAGAGAACTCAGGCGAATTACTGGTCGGCATCGTTTATGGTTAGAACTAGGGCGGTATCTGATCGCCTTCGAACCTCTAACTTTCGTTCTTGATTAATGAAAACATTCTTGACAAATGCTTTCGCTTTAGTTCGTCTTGCGAAGGTCCAAGAATTTCACCTCTAGCTCCGCAATACGAATGTCCCCGTCTGTCCCTATTGATCATTACCTCATGCTCCGAAGACCAACAAAATAGAACCGAGGTCCTATTCCATTATTCCATGCAACATTATTCGGGCACTGACGCCTGCTTTGAGCACTCTAATTTTTTCAAAGTAAACGTACCGATCGCCTATGACACTCGGTGAAGAGCACCATAGGACAAGGTCGGTAAAGTGTTCAGCCAAACAGTAGCCACTGGCAAGTGGACCGTCTGACTAGGAACTGAGATCCAACTACGAGCTTTTTAACCACAACAACTTTAATATACGCTATTGGAGCTGGAATTACCGCGGCTGCTGGCACCAGACTTGCCCTCCAATAGATCCTCGTTAAGAGTTTTACATTGTTCTCATTCCAATTACGAGGCCTCATAAGAGTCTCGTATTGTTATTTTTCGTCACTACCTCCCCGTTCTGGGATTGGGTAATTTGCACGCCTGCTGCCTTCCTTGGATGTGCTAGCCGTTTCTCAGGCTCGCTCTCCGGAACCGAACCCTGATTCCCCGTTACCCGTTACAACCATGGTAGGCGCATAACCTACCATCGACAGTTGATAAGGCAGACACTTGAAAGATTCATCGCCGGCACTAAGGCCATACGATTAGCAACAGTTATCCAGAGTCACCACCGTTAGGAGCCCCACAAGGGAACCCCATTGGTCTTGGTCTAATAAATGCACTTCTCCCGTCTCCGGTCGAAGTTTTTGGGCATGTATTAGCTCTAGAATTACCACAGTTATCCATGTAGACAGTCAATATCTAAGGAACCGTGATTGATTTAATGAGCCATTCGCGGTTTCGCCTTAATACGGCATGTACTTAGACATGCATGGCTTAATTTTTGAGACAAGCATATGACTACTGGCAGAATCAACCAGGTAGCTGTTCAGCCAAACACACACAGAACCGAACGGTCCGTGTTGTTGTTGCTGTCGGTGTCCTACACCGACTCACACTGCCTTCAATATAGCGGCCAGTGTTCACATTAACATTGCGTCTGTGTATAGCGCTAGCGTTAGTTTCGCCCGGCGTTATCACACATCCCAAACTGCCGGTCAGTCATCGACTAGACCGTCAACAGTACCGCTATAGCGGTTATCAACTTATTCAATCCGTTAGTTATAGCCAACCTATCGCGGCGCTATTCAAAGTCAGCCTTCGTTCATATTGCTCATGTTTATCGGCACTCTGGTTCCCAGTCAGTGACACGGTTTTACGCGTTTGACTATAGGCGGAAACTCAAGTGGTACCCGAACCGACGCCAGTCATCCCTATCCTGACATGTATTAAGTTGCCGTAGTTGCGGTCTTAGTGTGCAATCAATCAAGGCGTGCAGTCTGTATTGTCGACCCCCACGTACTAACAGCTGGCTCACTTACACCGCACGGCTCTCTCCCGTTGATAAAGCGAGGAACATGTCTTGCCGTCCCCTCAAAAAGTACGACAATCTGATATTCATCGGCATTACGCCGTTTGAATCACAGAGTTATCGATACTGTGTCACCGACTATCTCTCATTAATCGGTTTGACACCCTATAGTGTGTATAGTCATCGTATAGCATTATACGACTCTCTCAAATGTTATGCAGTGAACACCGCATATAGTGCTTTGACTCGTACTCAACACTACTACTCTCCATATATATACTTTTTTCTTAGTAAGGCACAAGTTGAGATGTGCACTTTGACTACTTGAAAAAACATGACATGTTTAAACAACACTGGAGGCCCGTCGGTAACTTCGGTAACCAAATTGTCACTATATCTTGTTAGGCCTCATTGACTAGATGGTGTCAATACGTTTGGCCACTCACTCTGACCACCGGGGGTCGTGTTATAAGCGTTTTTCCCGAAAACAACATTCCCGAATAACTCTGGCCACGGCCAACCGATCGGGACCGGACCATCATTGTTGTGACCGCCAACTAATGGCCAACAAGTCATATATGTATCACAATATGATTTGACCTCATCTTCGGGTCCAAATGGCCATCCGAAAAATGTCTGTCATGTACTCTCTACGGAGACATGTTTTTCGGCCATTTGGACCCGAAGATGACCATCGATCGGGACCAAACTTTCAAACTATATTCTTGCCACCAATGCGGTTCTAATGACATATGTCACGTCCCGATCGGTGGCCGTTTACCGAAGTAGTGATTTTTCAAAAAAAGTAAACAAAAAAATGTATGTACAGTATATTAGGTGTAACACCAGTATAGCATACATGTAAATGAGAGTAAGTAACGGTAAATCGGTAAGTAGTGGCCACAATGTTATGACCTATCTAGTCAGTACCGCATACCTATATGCTATCTTCTCCCGAAGTTTGGTCCCGATCGGTGACCATCTTCGGGTTCAAATCCCCGAAAAACCTATATTTCCCATACATTAATAACACATACAATACAATGCATTGTTGTAATCACGGGACGGGCCATATTGACCCGAAAACAACAATATAGACAATAATGTCCAACAGACAACTTGTTGGCCATCCAATTACTGTCCATAATATGTTGGTACGGATGTTGTCCGATGTCCGCAACCCGAGTTATACCGACTTGCCCAAAATGTTGGTCCCGCCGAACCGATGGCTGGCCAAGTGTTTTGAGTGGCTGATTAGGTGGCTAACCAATAGCCAATCATTCACTTCCAATCTTGACTTCGGGCGGTTAACCTGTACCGAGTTATCGGCAATTTTTGTTTTCGGCGGAGGCAATCGCTATGTAACTAGTAGTTGATTGGCCTTTACGGCCAAAGTAGCGGCCACAATGTCGAGACATATCTAGTTAGTACCGCACACCTATTTGCAACCTCATATTGAAAATTGATCCCAATCGATGATCATCTTCTGGTCAAAATTACCGAAATACCGATTTCCCCATACATTACTGTACTGTACTATACAGTACACTGTTGTAATCACGGGACGGGCACTTTTGACCAGAAGACATCCATGTGGCCAATTATGTCTTCATATAGCACCTTGGCCATCCGAATAGTGTCCATAATATGGTGGTACGGATGTTGTCCGATGTCCGCCACCCGAAATATAATGGGCCGTCAAAAATTGTTGTTTTGGCGGGAAAATCAATGAATCACTAGATGATGGCCTTTGCGGCCCAGGTAGTGGCCA